TCCGCCAAGCACATTCAACCCCTTTTTCCTCCCTATCTGGCCCTGATCTCTTTTCTGCTGCATGCCACCGCTGCGAATGCATACAAGATCCCATAGCGCAGTGCTCATGCGCTCAAGACTGGGCTTTCCGAAGCCCAATTGCCCTATTCTCTCTCTCAAAGCCACCGGCACGTAAGGACAAGAGACATCTTTGTGCGCCTTGACGACGAAGGCCGATTCATAACGAACGACGTCATCTGTCTACCCTCACTATACTTGAGTACCTTCTGTCGAGAAATTTGACAACTCTGGAGCAGGCACTCTGTCGAGAATTTCTACGCTCATCCTCCTCAGTACTTCGCAATCCCGCCGCATCCCGCCTCTCCGTCCCCCGCCGACACCCCCCCCCCCCCCCCCCCCCCCCCCCCCCCCCCCCCCCCCCCCCCCCCCCCCCCCCCCCCCCCCCCCCCTTCTCCCTCCCCTCCCTCTCCCAGCTTTCGCCGACTGGCCTCCACGCCGCCATTTCCATGTACTCGTCCACTCTGCCCTGGACGACGTCACTCTTATAAACCCCGCCGTTTTGCTTCCGACACGATAACCGTAAGCCTGTCGCACACCGAGCTCATGATCGGCCTTTGCTTGTCTTCCAGTTGAGAGCATGCCATCCCTAGATTAACCACATCCATGACCATATTCCATAAGACGACGTTCGTCTCCACTACACTCCTCAAGCACGGGTCGATGATCGTGCCGAGAATGGCCGACATGTTTGAACGCTCGGAAAATCCTCTTACCCATTCCGCGAGCGCTTGGAATTCGCCATCAACCGGGGATTGGCACAAAATCGCCGGTTTTCCGGTCATCAACTCCAACACGACTACTCCGAATGCGAAAACGTCGTTCTTGGCCGTCAGCCGCCCTCTCAGCAGGTACTCGGGTGCGATGTAGCCACGTGTCCCCGCCAGCTGACACGTCTTCACCATGCTCTCGTGCCCCGTCTCAAAGACGTTCTCGGCGATGGCTGCCGTGCCGAAATCGGCGCGCACGACTTGCAAGCTGCCGTCACCACCATCGCTGAGGAGGACGTTGCTGCTCTTCACGTCCCGATGAATGACTCTCGGATTGGCGCCGCAATGCAAATACCGAAGGCCTTCTGCGATCTGCAAAATGATCGACATTCGCTGCGACAGCGTCAGCGGCGGCGAGGGCGCTGCTCCGCGCACCCCCACTCTCTTGTGTAATCGTGACTGCAAGCTCCCGCCTGCGAAATAAGGGTAGACCAGGATGCACCGGTTCCCCTCGTCGCAGTATCCGATGAGCTGGATGAGGTTGGCGTGGTGAACACGGCTGAGAGTATTTACCTCAATGACAAACTGCCTGCGCTTGGCAGCCGTCAGCTCCCCGTGCATTACCTTGATTGCCACCTGAGTTCCTCCCAGCGAACCCCAGTACACTTCCCCGAACGCTCCCTTGTCGCCAATAAGATAACTCTGATCGAAATCATTCGTGCAGAATCGGAGATCGGTGAGCGCGAAAGCTCTGACAACGGCGGGGTTAAGCGGGACGGTGTCGGTGCTTAGCACCAATGGCGAAATGTGGGTGGTAGATTGAGTGACTGGTATCGCCTCCGGTGGTCGGTTAATACGCCTGCAGTAAACGATCGCATCTCCGACGACGACGAGGAGGACAGCTAAGCCGCACACAACGGGAACCGCGATGAGGGCGGGAGACAGATTGTCCTCCTTTGGCGATTTCGAACTGTTCGAGCCTTGCGCTGCTGGAGGGCTACTAGAAGAGGGAGGGGAGGGCGGCGGGGGGAAGCTTTGGGAACTATTCGGAGGCGGTACGGGGGAAGGGAGTGGACGGCTCGAGGGGAGAGACGGTATCGGCCCCTCACTACCACATGAATGTAACGCAGCCCTGTTAATCTCCAGCTTGTGTACTTGCCCGTCCATTGTACCTAGGTACAGGAGCGGATTGCTTGTCCCGTTATCGAAGAGCGCCGAGCCCCGGAAGCTCGTAGGCTCTGCCTTCGCAACAGATGTCACTTCCAGAGCTGTAGAGCAGGGCGAACTCAGTTTTATCCAGCGAACCGTCCTGCCATCCGCAACGAACACGTTGCACCCGTCTCGAGTTACTACGGGATGCGACAGAGACGCGAACGACCTGCGCAAACCGAGACCATCTTTCATATTTTCCTTTCCTGATCCCGCGACATGCGTGCCTGATCCCGCGACATGCGTGGCGTTTCTTGACATTGGCGATTCCGATGCTGATAACGTTCTTGATGATGGAGATGTCAAGTCCAGGCTCCAAACCGTGAGACCACTGGAGTCGCTGAAGTACAGACACCTCCCTTGTGAGTCCAAGCTTTGCCCCGCGAACTTCGTCGCTGTTATGCTGGGCGTCGCGCCTTTGGGGAAATTGGCCTCCGGCGCGAAAACAGTCGTGCTACTCACGGGAATACCATCAGCTCCAGGTAACATGGCCGCAGAGAGAATGCGATAAGGTGCGGCAGTGTCGGTGATATACAGACGCTCATTAGCAAGCCGAGTGAACGCGAGATTTCCTGGCGAGTCCACGTCGGACAACTCGATTGCCTTCCTATCTCCGGTGACGACCTCGATGAAAACTACCGTTTTCTTGCCGGTGCCGATTCCCGTCGGAAAGAGGACCAGGTGCGTATCGGATTTAGAAACATCCATGCTGGAATAAATCCTCGTCATCAGATTGATCCAATCAGAGCCCGGTTCATACTCCGCAACAAAGGCGGTCATATTCGCTCTCCCGCTTGGATTCGCAGCCGGCCACCAGTAACTAAGCAAACGTCCACCGCTCTCCAGCGCCGTAGCCGTACCCGGTTTGGCTTCTCTGAAAGAGTAGTGGAGCTTGGTGACTTTTTGAAGTGCGGTGTCCAGGCATCCTTCCAACAGCCTGTAGTACAACACAGTGCCGTCGCGAGAGAGGGCGACGTCCTCCATTATGGCCATGCATAGTACAGAACCGTTTGACTTGAACGGACCCTCTAGGGGGAACTTCACGACGCTCGTACCATCAGCTACTAAGGCAGCATCAATGGTAGATATATTGGATGTACCGTACAACCCCTGCAGTAATCGCCCTTCTGGCGCGTCAGGAATGCGGAAAAGACGGCGAAGACGATGATGAAGATGATCATCGTCCTCAGCGCGCCGCGCCGACGGCAATGCCGTCGCTACGTTCTCATTATCCGATGTGGATGCTGCTCGTCCTCCCGCTTCTCCGCCTCTAGCATCTCATCCCACTATTACTTCTCCCCTATCGCCGCCGCCGCCGCCACCACCCCGCCCGGCATATTGCAAAGTGAAGAAGCATGGCAACAGCAGCAAGAGAAAGGCGGCAAGGAGCGAAGGTGATCGCCGCATTACGAAGACGAGATCTCGGATTCCCATGATCCCCGAATTTGCGCGAACCGTGTTCCCACGCTCTTCCCGCCAAATTTGCGCGAATCGTTCCCCCACGCTCTCTCCGCCAAATTTGCGCCACTGGTCTTGCTAACTGACCTAATCACTGCTGCCCTCGCACGCAATCATCGTAATCTCCATTGATCGCCAATTTACACACTACAATCTATCCAATAAACAAAATAAAAAACAAAAAGAGAAAGTCCCCTCGGCGGAGAAATCTCGATAAGAAACTATTAACCTCCACGCACCGGACCAGAAGAGCTCGGCGAGGGGAGCGAACTATGGTGGCGCGCTGTGAATTTCCCGCGCGCCTTTTCAAACTCCGCGCACAGCGGTTGCTCCTCGTGTTTCCGCGGCTATGGATACTCGTCCTTCCCTTCTGCTCTCTCCGACTACTCCTTCCGGGACACCTTCCTCTGCTGTGCGAAACGCAGGCGAGCAGACACAACGGATCAACAGGCCAGCGGGAAAGGCGAGCTTTCAGGAGATGGAGGAGGATGGAGCAAGTCAATTCCGTCCTAAAGACCGCTGATCATCACCGGCAGTGTGACGAGACTCAGAGGAGCCGAGCAGACGAAAATGGAACAGGGCAGGGCGAAAGGCGCGGTTAATTCGCTGTGAGCAGAAACCATTTTTTTCGAGACAGAGAGCTGTGCCGCCGGAGAGAGTCGCGCGTCCCATCCCCCGCCGCTGCTTCCCCGTATGTTCAAAGCGTGCGTAAAGCACATGACCATAACCAAGGTCGATGGAGATTCGTTGGAGAAGGTGCGCTGTCCGAACCTTAAACTACACGATGCGAAGGAAAAACGGGAAAAAGAAAAAAAAAAAAAAAAGATTTTGAATCAATCACCTGCGCGCCTTTTATAAATATCGGAGGTAACATCATCTTACCTGACACTGACCCCTATAGATTCTAGGCGCGATTGATGGATGACTAAACAACTAAGTCTTACCCACTGTTCTAAGAACATATTCTTCCTAATACAGAATGTTCACACCCACCTGAACGAACTGCAATGACTCATCATCCGACATGACTAAATGTCCACATCAACGCTAACAAATAGCAATTGCTTTCTCCACACCCTGCGAAATCGCATACAGGGTAACAGACCGCGCCCGAGATTCTGCCTCTTACTCCTGATCCCTCTTTTGCTCGCCTCTCCCGTTCGCACACCCTCAAAGCGTACTCACACTAGGACTTTCCTCCACGCACCAACTGAGTGAGTGTAGCTCAGTTGATAAGGCGATCAAGCAGCACTCAGGAGGTCGTGGGTTCAACTCCCATTGCCCCCACGGTAGTACCTGTGGCATGCTTAGCGTCTTACCTTAGAGACGGTCAGTTGGTAAGCAAGTGTGTGGTAGCTCAGTTGGCAGACCTTCCCTGTTGCAACGGGGAGGTTGCGGGTTCGACTTTGTCAGCCTGCAATTTCCCCTGAGCACAATTGGTTGGTGTAGGTTGCACCCCACATACTTGTCCCGATCCTGGCATAGCATCCTTACAGACTAATGACCTCAATAGCTCAGTGCGTAGAGCTCTGATATTGTAACTTGGAGGTCAGAGGGAAACCAATGTTGAATCAAGAGGTGTGTAAACCCATTCTGGGGTGGTGGGTTTTCAGAGGTGGTTGGGGGTAGTTGTTGACGACCCGTGAGGTCTCCACCATTATCATTGGCTGACTCTCCCTAGCGAACAGACATAAGCAAGGCATATTAGTAGCAGAAAGCAACCACATACATCCACACAGACTATGA